AACGGCGGAGCCGAGAAAATCGCGCAAATTACAGAGATAAAGGCCAATTTAAATCTCGACAGTTTATATTTAAAGGTCAATTGCTATCTAATCATTGATATTAGAGAGACGGTAGATTGAATAAGCGTAGAAATGTAGACAATTTATTTCTCGAAACAATTAAGAAACCTTTTTTTTTAAATCTAAATCTGTAAAAGTGACGAAAATTATACAAAGAGGAAATATTTTTCTCCTTCATATAATTGTATGCCTAATTTTTATATAAATCTATGAAAACTGTTTTCTCTCTGTTAAGTACTTTAGAAAATAAATTTTATTTATGCGCGTCGACATTATTCGATGGAGAGTACAAAAACTCGTGTAGCATTTTCTTGCTTCTGTCGAGACTAAGTGAGCTCTTGTAGTTTTCGTTCTCGTGTTACTGACCTCCCCTTTTTTATCATCCTTTCGTACGCTTTCTGATTTCGGCGGGGTCTCAATTTCTTACACCAGCAAGGCTATAATATTGCTATAATAAAAAAAGAAGGGATCCACGGGCCTTTATAACGGGCTAATAGTAGGTACACCTCGTGTAATTTGCTTCGTCACTTTTCTCCTTCTCTTATACCGTCGCCCTTTACTCGCATTAGCGACCGGAAGATTGCACCTGCGCTTTTTTTGCGCTCGTGAAAATCATCGGGGCTTGATAATAACATGGCAATTCGCGAAAGAGGCATAAAGCGTCAAATTTAATTATTTTAAATCAAATACTATTTAACAAGTTTTTGAAATATCTGTGGTAATGAAAAATGAAATGTATTCTTTTCATCTTTGTTTTATTAATTATTAGGTAAAGTAAATCTAAATTTATAGCAACATTAAATTAAAACATTAAAATATTATATAAATGAATATTAAATTGTACAATTTATAAAATGGTTTCAACTTATTATTTTATTAAAATTGCAAAATAAATAAAATTGTTGGAATTATACATCATGGATGAAATTCATATGGATATAAATTGTGAAACATTACATTATTATATATCGCTGAAAACATGAATTATTCTCATATATATATATATATATATACATATATCGCTCGATACTGTCATTTTCCCCGAGAGAAGCTTTAAGGAATTTCTCTCTCATGTTTCTGTTTTATATACAAGTGAGTATCGATTCCCTCTGCACACACAAAAGCCGGCCGATCGACGCGTCTCTTCTAAATTCTCTCGACTAAATTGGGATACACGTGGTGCGCGTAGATACGCGAACAGAGGCACTTCGCGGAGGAATGCCCGGACTAGACAGCGACACGATGCGTCGATCTAATAATGCGTGTAACCACAGGTAATCCGAGAGCTACTATCGATGACTAATATCCTCCTGCTTCTCGCACACCGACGCAACGAGACGAGACGAGCCGCGACGCAACGCACGCAACGCAACGTACGTTCACGTTCTCGCGTGCATCACGTAACGTTGCTACTCTGCATATAGCATATGTACGCACGTATGCGAGCGAGCGCACACGCATAATGCATATGGACGTTCGACGGGCAACATATACCACCGTATACCACCGGCGGGCCGAAATCTCGTGGCACGGAGATAGGACGCCAGAGGCGGCGATATTATCAAATTATATACCTGCACTACGTATACACCGGCGGCCAATAATTCATCCATAATTCAGTTATCTAAATAGGACACCCGCGCGACAGACGCGCACAGACACACACACACACAGCTGACTTTCGCGGTACCCGTGTGCATGCGTCAAAGCGGGCTGGATATATCTGCCGACGAGTGCATGGACGGCGCGATCTCTGGTAGCTGTTGGAGCGAACAGCGAAAAATCCGCCGCATCCGCTCGCTCTCTCGTTTGCGCAAATGTCGGACTCTCTGTCGGTCGGGGGAACGCCATTGTCCTGCCTTTTACCCAAAAAGCACCGACGCGTATAGCCGCGCGCATAATAGTTTAGAGACATTTAATTATTCCGTGAATTATTCTGCGTATAGCACGCATTATATACGTACGTGTACAAAATTTAAGTTATATTATATTTATATATTTATTTATAGTTATATCTCTTAACTGTCATATTTTTTTGAACATTTATTCGAATGACTTTCGTACGGGAGAGATTTTGCTTTCAAAATAGCTCTTATTTCCTATATAGGTAAAAAAAAAACATCAAGTTTTACGAGTCATAAATAATCAACGCAATATGACAAATATAATTGAAAATAACATTTTTAATAGAGTTTTTTTGTTACGCAGCTGTCGGGTTGCTTGAGTTATTGTGATGCATAAGTTGTACGTTCGTTATTAATAATAAAATGTCACGGTATGGATACTATATAATGTTAGTCGAGCCGGAAAGCGTTGTTGCACAGTGTGTCGCGGCAAATCGGTTTATGATTTGTTTATATCGCGTTGATGAAAACACATGTTGTTTCGCATTTATCAATAAATCACTCTCTTCAGCCACGCATAAAAACGAGAATAATTGAATTAAAATTAATTAATTCTAGAAATGTGGTCCCCGCATATGCGCAAATGTCCTGCATTATTTGAATTAATTCCTAGTAATACGATTCTATATTGCCGCTAATTGCGGTGACTCGTAAACATGTCGAATCGAGTTTACGTGGATTTAATATCATCGCACTGTGGATACAAATTACGGTTCTCGCATTAACATATTTTTTTATTATATAAACGCGAGCTTTAACCGTTCTGCATAATTCCTCTATTTACGTTACGCGCGCGCAACAAGCATTAAATAATAGTGAACATTTTATGAGACAGTGCTTAAAAATAAGGCAGATTGAAGCCTGATTTAATTTTCGTTCCTGAGCTGGTTTACGACGAGAGGCGTTAGAAAATTAACGAGATCGCGGTGTGCTGTACCTTTGCGCAGCATCCCATACAAAATTGAGAAGAATCGAGAGGATAGGATAGTCAGCGCGAAACAAGAGGAAAATTCATGGCGCGGTGAAGAAAAGCTTTCGATCGCGCGAGTACATAAACATCGACTTCGTATATTCTATTAATATTGGCAAGACGGTAGCTTCTTCGCAAGATTAATATTGGCGACGTGCTAATAAATTTATATCTTGACACGCAATGTTTCGAGAATAGCGTTGTGCATATCACAGACACGAGAGAAACTGCAGAAAATTTATAATATAACTTTCCGTCAATCTGTCTCTTTTACCACGAAAAATTAAAGTCGAGTATACGGATATAATTGAATGATAATTTATTGCTAATTTGTTACTCTAATCCTGAATTTATCGTTTCTACCAATTAGCAGGAAGTTTATATTAAATATGGAGATGCTGGTTCAACATTTATGCTAGCTGTTTTTAGAAATACTCAGCGAATCTCGTAAACACAAACAATCTTACCAGAATAAATAATTAATTAATTACTTGGAGAGAAAGAACGAAGGTGCTGCAAATAGATTTTCAAAATATTAAATTTTTTAGATGCATCAATACTATATATGTTATAATTGTATATAAAATGGTTAAAAATAACAAGTTTATTGGTATAATATCAAAGTATTTTCTGCATAATTGGTATCAAAATATCTATTTCATGCTTGCAAAATAAGTTTCAAAAATAATAGAAGATGCACCGTAAACTATGTTAATGTAATTAATAATTACCCTCTATTTTTAATATTGGAATAATTTCTAAATTTTGTATTTTTGCGATATTCCAATATCGAGAGAAAATTCTGTTCATTATTTAATTGAGAAAAACGTGCCGAAAATAAAGTATGTGGAAAAATTAATTGATTTCTCTGTTGATATTAAAATGTTTCCCGAATTTATTGTTAAAGTCATTATCTAAAGATAAACGATAACATTATTTTATAAATGAACAAATTTATAAATTGTTCGTCACACGATTGCTCCGATGTATTCTCGGAACTGTTCTTTCTCCTCTTGTTCGTCTTTTATTATTCTTTTTATGGCACTCGTGAAAACATGGTTAATTACGCACTAATCATTAGAATACAACGATCGCGCAGACACTTTTACATAGCATTCTCGACGTTAATCGCATACAACATGTTTTATTTTACAACTTTATTTTATATTGCGACGAGAGAACGCGAAAAACACGATTATACGAAGCTATACGATCCGCCCAGGAACTGGAAAACTCGCGTGCGAATTCACACAATGCTATCTCTTCTATTGCTAACGAATAGTAGATGCATTCATTTCGCAGCAAGTTTGTTATCTTTCATTGTAATACAAGTAAATAAACGTGCAAGTTAAAATTAAAGATAGATATCCGCAAAATGCAATATTCAAGAATGTCATCGTTTTACTGATTTTGCGTGCGATTTCGATCGAATAAATCATATAAAATCCACGTTTCAACAAATCACCATCGAGTTTATGGCACGTAATTGATACTGAAATGCCGCATGAATAACAATTGTACTTATTAATTAAACGTATTAATGCGAATAAATTTGTTTTGTAAATCCGTGATGTTTTGTTAATGATTGAGAAATGACTAATTTCGACGACTGCATGTACCATATATATTCCGATTCTGCGCTATGGTATCTGCGTGAGTTAATTATTAAGAAGATGCGACAATTACTCGCTCGTAAGATACAATAATCGCGTTTAACATTTTTTAATTTAACACTCGTCCCGTCAATTTTGCGATTATATATATAAAAATATATATAAAAATTGATAAAATTATGTAGATAAAATTTATCTCGAATGAATGAAACAAAGGAATTATTCTTAAAATATATCACGAGCGCATTAATCATACGCTATTAGCCCTCATTATTCTTACTTAAGACGTAACAATTCAACATAAAAGAACGCAAATGCCGCGGCGAAAATATCTCTGGTTGAAGGGGTGAACTAATTAGATTGCCGAGGCGACACGACGCGCGGCGAGAAAAGAAAGTGAAGAGAGGGAAGATGAGATCTACTAAAGAGGCACTTTTCCTTTTTGTTTTTCAGGGCAACTGAAAAGTCCACGGATAACCGAGCACCCGTCGGACATAATAGTCGCGAAAAATGAGCCGGTGACGTTGAACTGCAAGGCGGAGGGTAAGCCCGAACCGGTGATAGAGTGGTACAAGGACGGCGAGCTCGTGCAGACGTCGCCGGGCGACGTCAAGTCCCATCGGGTCCTGCTGCCTACGGGATCTCTCTTCTTTCTGCGGGTGATGCACGGCAAGAAGGAGCAAGATGGCGGTGTATATTGGTGCGTCGCGCGGAATAAGGCCGGATCCGTCCCGAGCAGGAACGCCACTCTCACAGTCGCAGGTAAGAGCCCGACCGTTGTCATATCTTTTTCGTCCTTCGTCCTTTCTTACACTCGGATTATGTACCGGGTAGCCGAGCGTGTTGTAACGCCCCTCGTGAGATCACGAGTTAAACTCGGAACGAATCCCCGTGAAACGGCCTTCTCTCGCCTGGAAAGAATTCCACGACTCAGAGTCGTGTTAAGCTGCGTAACATCGTTTCGCGAAAAATCAGAAATAATTGAGAGTTTCTATTTTAATATGCCTTTATTATACTTTCTACTACATCATTTTCCTTGTCACAATAGTTGATTTTTCAATATGGTTAAATAAATCTTTGTATGGTTTTATTTTATATTCTTCAAATGGCTGTTCTTCTTCATTAAATTAAAAGCTTAATAATTAAAAATATATTAATTACATTAGTTTTGTTTAATAATCCAAATTTCCTTGATAACGTTGACTCTCGAACCTTTGTAAAGATTATTAAATATGGTTCATATTTTTTACGCTTCACATGGTTTATATGAAATTCATCGATTCATTTATATTTCACTTAGCGGAGAGAAAATTAGGTAATATTAACTATTCTCCCTTTGCGCCATAGATCAGAATATTAACCATATATATATATGTACATACCTATTATATATAGTATTAGTATCGATCGAGGTCGTTCTGTCGCGTGAACCGACCCAGTATGGATTAACCATTGTCGCGATACGATTAAGCGTATGTCCAGTGTCGGTCTATAATTATTTTCCCAGCCGCTGTCAATTAGCCTAATCTTGTACCGAGTATCGAACTGATAAGATATACTAGTACAATACATACCTCGGGTCTTTCATTAGTCGCCGGATCAGCATGAAATCGGTGAAACTACATTTCTACATTCCGGGTGCACATTTGCAATAAAATTTTATGCGCTTGCAGACGCGCGAACAGAAACATTGTAATTATTCGATCGCGATACACGCTGTCTTTGTACAATATTTTATCGCGAGGATCACAGGCCGATGTAATTTTTCAGTGTCGATTTATGTACGATTTATTCCAAAAGCTTGTTAGTTGATAAATCGGTTCAGTTAACAAATCGCTGAGGCATATAGATATAGAATTTATCTGCGCGAAAAAAGTAAAGGCACCTATAAACGTAATTTTATATTCTACGGTAAAAATTTCAAATTTTATATACGATCTCATAATTTTCACACGGTGCATTTGCTTATCTCCAAGTGCCATTCATCATAGTCCCTCTCTTTTTCACGATAATCTCATACACATTTCTCATTCGCTCTTTATAAAATACATTTAAATAATAGAGATTAATTACTACGTTACGCAACATTCAGCTTAACGCGACAAAACATTCACTTCTCGAGTACGCTTTAACATCGGCAAAAGGAAAGAAAATTTCTTTGCATTTCGAGAGCGACACAAGGATAAGACATAATTGCGCGATTAAAACAAAACAAGACCTCGTATACAAATAAAAGAGATCGTTTTCACGCGATGAATCTATTTCTCGGTGCCGCGTGTTAAAACGGAGCGAACGAATAAAAATTCCTCTCTCTCTCTCGAGAGAGAGAGAGAGAGGGTGGAAAAGAGACGCGACGTCTGACAGTAAAAATTGTTGCATCCGCGCGAATCATCCCCCTCCCTCTTTTCCGAGCTACTACGATGTCTCTCGCCTCGAAAGCGAGAACGCCGGGTGACAGTTCTGGCGGCGGCCGGCTACGTACAGGGTCACCCGGACGAAAACGGACACCCCGTATATACGCTTGCAGGAAGGAATAACCGTGATTTATACGGGATAGAAGTCGACTCCTTCGACTAAAACGAGCCATGTTTGTTTAGAGGCGATCGATATCCCGGGCGACGCACCCTCGCCTCTGCCCCGTCCGTGGTATATGCCCGTTCGTCCGCCCGTTTGCCTGCCTTGCCTGCCTGCTTGCTTGCTTGCTGGCTGGCTGGCTGGCTGGCTGGTTGGTAACGACCGATTCACTCGCCTCTCTCGCCTCGCAGGCTCTATACTACCTACGAGTCTGACGATGCGACACCGAACGACGCCTGCTATACTGGCGAAGAATGCACTTGGCCGCCGACGCGTTGTGTGTATACATATATATGTACATACATGTATACAAGGGTCCGCGCTTCTGTCCCCTACAATAGCAGGAGGATATTGTGGCTTTCTTTCTTTCTCTCTTCCCCGTCCATCTCGCTCTCTTCTCTCTGGCGCTCAGACTAATCCCGATTATGATCTCTCGAGAAAAGATGCCATACAAATTGAATTAGTGCCCGGGGAGTCAATGTAGCGTCTCCGGAATCGTCGTGGAATCGGGGAAACATATGTGTGTACGTACTCGATATATAATAAAATGCGTCACGCGTTATTGAATACTCCAGTGTTCTCGATCGAGAATCGTTTCCGCATTTTTATTACATCGCGCGTCGTCGCATTTTCCGCGCGCATTTCGAGAGATGTATAATATATGCGCAACTATATATATATATATATAATCGAAAGAACGAAAAATGCATATGCGAAAGATTTAAGAACGATAATGGAGGATCTCGATAATGCAGGGCGCTAATCACGCTCCCGCCGCTTCCACGTTATTACCTTTTCCGTAGGCTCGTTATTTCGAGTTCATATGTGACCGCGTATACCATATATATCTATATATGTATTCTATCTACGTATACACGCGCGAACATTATATGCACGTATGCATCCGCGCGTTTCACGTTTCGCGAGCATCGGTTACGCCGGTGCATCCGAGCCTCGTAATTTATAGAACACGATATCGCTCGTTAATTGCTTATTGTAATACGCGCAGCTATCCGTAACGTGCATTTATGCGACAGCGCACGTTAAATATGCAGTCGTAATGGGAGTGCTTAGCGGGGAGCGAAACCGGAACGGGGGCTGTTCTATCTCTCGCGGAATCTCCAGAATATTGATATTGCATCGCAATAAAATTTCCGTCCAGGCATCTGTGCCGTAATTATTCGCGTGCCATAATGCACGAGGTTTTTCCTCCCCATGCGCATTCAAAACGAGTGTCATTCATATAGAGAGCTAAATCTGCCTCGGATAATTCTCCTTTTCCCGCATTATATTAATCTACGCACGAAGCTCTCTTAAATCTCTCTCTGTTTTTTTTTTTTTATCGATTATTATCGTCCGAGTTAAATATCGTACGTCAATAATAAATTATAGCGCAAAGTGAGAATGCTAATGCATCTAATTAAATTCTCGGCACGAAATTGTAGACCCGAGAAAACGATTAATTATTTTTCTCTAATGCTATACATATATATACGGTTAATATTCTTATTTCGGGTTCATTACTCGACATAACATATTGTCGAACTAAATTTAATTCTTCATTAAATTAAGATACAATAATGAAACATATTAAACTACTCTAGTGTTATGTTGAGTAAACGAAATTTGTTTGATATCACGATTGGCTTCTTCGTTAAAGATTTTTAAATATATGGTTTATATTCTTCGCGTAGTTCATATGGTTTCCAAATCAAATTTAGTAAGACATACAAATTTTATTCTTCATATGGTTGGTATTTTTATAATTTATATTTTTTGCGGAATAACACATATTTGTCAAACTAAATTGAATTTTTCGTTAAAATTAAAATACATATAATTAAAAATATTAATTATTTTAGTTTTGTCAAATATTTTGTTGAATTACCAAGAACTTTAGGATTATTGAAAATGAAAGAAAAATTGCGAATTATTTATAATTTTCGACGAAATAATGTGCTAGCTTCACACACACACACACACACACACCAGTTTTCGCTCTCGAGCCTCGCCTTTCTCGGTAACTAGATTCGCCAAGTAGCCGTCTCTCCTTGCGTCTCTTTGTTGTTTTTGCCGCAGAGCACACGTTGCGTGCGCACACACACACACTTACGCACACCTCTCGACTCTCTCTCTTTCTCTCCCTCGCAGCGCAATATAAATAGGCCCCGGAGATCGCCGTCCGAACAAGCCCTCTTTTCGCTCGATACGGAACGTGGACCCGGCATGGAGACACGGCTCCTCGATCCGGGCTATCGCGTATAATGCATAGCTGCTTACCGCGTTATAATGGCAGCTTACGCACAATAGTCAAGTACCCTGCTCACCCATAATAAGGCCCCGACCATGGGCGCCGGTACGCCCATCTTTCTTTTTCGCGTGCTGTAAGCGTGGAATTCTTTTCATCCGGACCGGATCTTTTTTATATGCGACGCCTTCGTTTATCCACTTTGAAATGTTTAGAAAGATACAAGTTTCTAAGGCTTCGAGATTAAGAATATTTATATCTATTCGCGCGCTTGTGCGCGCGCGGCTTTGCCCGTGTATAATATATTTTATAACGAATTTATATACCTACTTCTTACTTGCGTTTTATAACCAACGCGATGACGTAATCTCGTCGCGCGCTTTCTCCAAATTTGCATAGATATACCGGTTGGATAAATGTCCGTTAAACTACTTTGTCATTCATTTTCTCTATTTCGAACAAGGCAAACGCCGTCTGAAATTTCTTCATTTTGATAAATGGACCTGTCATTCCAAGACCTTCAAATATTCTTCACGTATAGTTCAACATCGATGCGCAATTTATCGTTTAAAATATATTTATGCGCGCGCGTACAATCTTATACCTATCTCTTTTCTTTTTTCCTAAATTAAATACAAACATTTATCTCTTATACGCCGACAGTGATTTATTTCTCGACTGGAGAATTGTTAAGAGCCTCTCGATACAGCTTTTCGATATAAAGCTGTTGCGCGTTCGGCGGAGTCCTTTTCGTATATATCCACGAGAAACCACCGCGAGCGTGTGCGGATGACCTAGATATATTTTTAAAGCGATAGAAGATGATCCTCCTCCTCGTGAGTAGTAGCTAGATTATCCCTAGACGACATACAGTGCATCAAGCGCAGCTCAAGAGATACATCGCGACGTAAGATAGCTCCGCATACGTCTTCATCCCTAGCGAAGGAATATATAAAGAAACGCGCGTTCTCTTAGCGTATCTTATAAATTTATAATTGGCTTTGGTCGAAGTTCGCGTTGGTGAAACTAAAGCTGAAATAAAGTTGTAACTGGAGAGGGTCCGCTTCTCTCAAGTTGAGCGAAAGTTGGCGAATCGCGAGTTCCAGCGGCATAATTATCCAAGTTCCTCTCCCGACATGTTTTCGGAAATAAAAGTATATAAAACAGTGATTTTTACTATATATATATATATATATACATGTACGAGAAATGTTTCAATTAGAATCTTAAAGTTCTTTTTCTTCTTCCTCCTCTTCTGATTTCTCCAAGTAAGCTTAAACCTGAAAAAGGAAGAAAGAAAATCGCGTAAAACCTTAATTCGATCATTCCTCTCAAGTACATGCATATATACACGTTTCAAGTTGGAGACATTCTACATCCGTGCTTCTTCACGATAAAATATCAAAGTACGGATGACGAACTAGCGCTAGAATATCCGGCGATCGAAATCGAAGCGTCTCCCGTCGCGAGATAAATGCGACTGAATTTTGACAGATTAGCACCGTGACAGACGCGTCGGGTACTTATCCCCCTTAAACGTTATCAGGTCTGCTCTCGGGCTGTTTATATTAACGCGTCGTACCTTGACGAAACCGACGGCGCCGGTGGCGACGAAGACGAGGACGGGAAGTTTAGAGCGCCGAAGAATAACGGGAGAAAATGAAGATAAATTGGAGTAAATAGGTGGTAATAGGTATAATGTCGCTGCTATTTAATCTTCATTAAAGCTAACGTGCCTCCTGTCTCTTCTGACTCGTCTCTCGCGACGACGGCAGCGTTATCGGGACTGTCACGGAGTACCAGATACGTTTTTAGTGGAGCGTCACTCTCTTTCAGGGTTCGTCGTTTTATACATATATCCGCTTGAACACGCAGGATTGTTAAAAAACGACGCGTCGCCGACGGCTGATTATTCATCGGACTATTGAGATAATAATTTTGCAGCAGCCGTGCGACAACGTCGGATATGACGCGGCGTATTTGTCCTGCCAATAAAATTGAAAAAGCTCGAGGGGATTAATGAACGATGCCGCGAAAGCGTTGTTCGCCGCACCCTTTGGCCTATTCGCCCCCTTCGTTTCACATTCTTGCCTCTTCATACCGGTTTTCTTTGTGCGGCGGCGACGACGACGACGGACTCGTTCGATACGACGATGACAACAAGCTTTTTTTCGTATTTCTCTCAAGCTCAATCTCCCTCTCGTGAAAAAAAATTAATTTGTCTTAAAAGTTTTGTACAGGTTTAATTTGAAGAATTCCTGCGATAGAGTTTAATAACTCGTTTTAATTTGACAGAAAATACGATGTGCTTTACACGAATTCTTTATTAGAATGCGAGTTATATTTATAGATTGATGGTATACTTAAAGTCAAAGTTTAACTGATGTCACGAAAAAGACCATAGTCGTGAACACGGGTTCTCCTTGTAAGAAATCCTAGACGGAGACGGTGACAGGTAATTATAGGTCTGACGGTAATTGATTTGATGCAGAGACGGTAAAACCAATTTGGAATGTGAAAGGAAATTGGAGAAAGGGCGGGAAATAATGAAAAGAGAAAGAGAGCAAGATTTAAAAACTTTATTGAATAAATTTAATTTATTATCATTTAATTTTTCATTTCCGTATAGAAATCACATAGAACGATATAAAATGCTCCTCGCGTTCTTCCTCTCCCTCTCTCTCTCTCTCTGAAAGAAAAAAATTAATTTTGCTTTATTTAAACTACCTATTAATTGACCTCCATTTATTCACCTCTGTGGAAATTACCGCGAAATATGTAGAACGATATTTATTAATATCAAGATATATATTGATTCGCACACATTATGAAGCCACAACGTGAATATTACTCATTAATATCGAAACATTAATGTTGTAATTGCATATTGCATTTCATGCAATTCAACAACGAGCTTTTGCACAACTGCATCTCGATCGATACAAACGCGCCCTCCCTTCATCCGACGTATTACGAAGGGAGATTTTCCTTTAAAATCCGCCCGCGAATAATTATATACATCGCGTAAGGAAAAGTCTATCGGTTTTCACTTTACCGCGCGTTACCCTCCTGCATACATGCATACCAAGGAAGGGAACGGGATAAAAGTGTAGCGGGAACAAATGCGCGGAGAACCTACCGTATGATCTAACGAATGGACTGACTGTTCGAAGGCACCCCATTTTCTGCGCCTCCGATACCACGCGCCACGTGGTGCATACATCTGTCCTCTCCCCCTGGTTCTCTCGTCCCTTGCTCCCTTCTCGTGATCCTCCCTCTCTCAGAAGCAACATTTGAAAAACCAAGGCTCTCTCTCGCCTCCCGTTTTTCATCTACACACTTTTTCTCTCCGACTCGATCCGTATTACTACGAACTATGGACAACCCTACGGGCACCCCTCATTATTGGCCGGGCTATTAAATGGTTATAACCTTGCGCGCTCTTTACAACACGTGCCGCCCGCTCGCCGGTTTGACAAGTTTCGCCGCGCGGCGTAGTTTCCTTTGGGAGGCAAACCGCCGGCCGCTCTTTGTCAAGTCCCGCGTCGAAATCGAAAATTATTCTCTCGTTAGGAGAGCCCTAACGACAACGATTAACCCGTTCGAGCGAGTCTTGCAACACTTTATTCATCGTTATTTCTATTTTTTTTCCCTGTTTTCTTTCTTAAAAAGTAACCGCTTAGAGGAGGAACGAATGATTATTACAATCGTTACGCATGACGTGTATAAATTTACGCGTAATGACACGGATAATTGTTGCATATTTTTCGAGCTACGCTGCCGTGAAAAATGTTGCGTAAGCGTTATATAGTATAAATCCTCTCTCCGGTTATTTCTTTCTTCCCTTCGCCCGACATTTTCTATGGACGACAAAATTTTGGCAATGAATGTCGAGGTCGATGGCAACGCGCCGAACAATGGCGCGATTTTCCTGACGCGACATTCTCGATTCGGTGGAATCTATAATCCCGTCGCGCGTGATTTCGACGAGAGAAAGAAACTCTGACGTAATATCAACCTTATGATAATTTTATCTCTCTTCGTCATATTTCATCTTGCGGTGTAACTTATCTCTTGCTCATTTCCTTTCTTTTAATAAGAGGACGAAGATTGCTCATTTACTCAAAATGTTATTTATATATAAAAGTTTATCAACGCTCGAAGTTAAGTTATAGTTGATGATTGGAAAAAACTAAAGTTGGTTAATGAACGCTACGTGCCGAACGATGTTTGACAAATTCGATCGACGAGCATCTCTCGCTCGCGCGCGACACGAGCCATTGCACTCGACTGCATCACCTTAGTTACACCCTAGTTACATCTCTGTGATGCGCGGAACTTTTTCTCCCCCGACTACTTTCCTCCGCCGCCGTGCGACGAGAGCCTTGGGGGACTGGGGTAAAGATTCACCGTGATGTTTGCCCCCGACAACTGTATAAACAGGCGGCGATAACGCCCAGTTCCTGTCAGGAAATTTCGGTATATACTCTCTCCCGGCTTGTTTGCGAATGTCGTGTCTCGTTCTGTCGCGAATTTTCGCGGACGCGCATCCCCGGAATTAGCGCGACGCGAACTGTACAACATTAACAATGAACCCGCGCTCGCGGACGGCAGTAATTATTTGCCGCATTTTATTACGCGCTTTATGTACTGCGCTACCGTCCGCCTACAATTTAGCTGTCCAATCCGTTCGGAAACATCGGATTATACAGATTTATTCAATACCCCGCGAGCCATTGCGTTAAACGCGCGCCGATTTTATACCGATTCCCCTTCGATCTAATTGCTTTCCTCGCATTCGATATGAATCGCGTATAATTATATATCTATACAAAAAAAAAAAAAATTTTTTCTTCCGCAGCACGCGCACATATTAAAACTTTGTAATATTTATTTTGTTTGAACATCTCTGAGTAAACTGATTTCTTTAGTATATATTTGTGTGTAAATATTATTACGTATTTTTAATTTTAAGTTTTAAATTCTTCTTTGAATAAGTTATGGGAAAAAATTCAATTTGCAATTTTAGATATTTTTTATAAATTGTTTTTCTCACTTGCGTAAAACGGCGATTAAATCGGGATTAATAATTTTCTTTGCTCCGATCGGAAAATATTTTCCGATATTTCAATATTGTGTTCTTTTATTAAATGTTCTAATAAATTACACGGATAATATTTATAAAATTTATTACACGTTAAACATTTATATATTCTGAATCCTATATAATTGTTTCTTTTTCTTCGTTAACATGAATCTTATGATTGGTACTTAAACGATTTATCATTGCTCCAATAATTTTTGTGATTATAACACACACTCTTATCACTTTTTTATATTTCATTTCTTTATAATCTGTTGACTCAAATTGTGAAGTTCATTCTTAGAATTGTTTGTAGTTATAACGACTTCTCGATGTGAACATCACGTTACGTGTTAAAACATTATGAAAGTTGAAGCTGAAAAGTTTTTATCTCAAGAAAATTTTTAGAAGCATAACTTGTAATTTACGTAAGTATACATTCGATTTAATTTTTTATTACACGATTGTAAAAGAACATTTAATTAATCAGTGAGCATTCTGATGCATATAAAGTGCCCAAGTCTACAATTCTAAAAATGCATGAAGAGATTGTGAGATCATAGCTTCCGCCAAATCGTTTATATTATCTATATTCAAACTGGAAATGAAGTATCGTAAATATCGCGCAAGTTTAATATCATTTAAGTTAGTAGAGCGTGCGATTTAAAATACGCGCAAACACGGCATATGTACATATAATTTATACATTTAACATACTTTAAACCAATATTTCAATCAATCTTGCGAAACCGATAAAACTAGATGCGATCTGCTTCGCTTAGGTTTTGCGAACTGGCAAAACTCGTGATGACTGTACAAATTTCTCCCTCTCTGCTTGCGAGAGTTGCGAGTTTCTTACGCAGTTACCTCTCGTAGGCATCGGGTTAATAAACTTCTTTACGGCGATATATCTGCGAATGTTTTGCATAAACGGAGACGGAGAGAGGGCGCGAGGAAGGAAAGAACGAGCGAGTTTACCGCGATAATGAAAAGGAACGAACAAACCGGGCTGCTCGTTGGCGCCCTGGATATCAACGCGCGCGCGCACGATGTAATTTCGCGCGGTATATACAGCGATTACAACCAAGAGAGAGAGAATATTTTTCGCGGATTGTGGAGAGATTGCCGTCACCGCGTTGTCACTCCTTTGTCCTCGCCCGTGATTGAGACTTTTGATCGTCAGCTATTAACGTCGGCGCACGCGAGTGCGTTTATTAAGCACGGCATGGCGCGGCAAAAATTTCCAAGCGGAATTCGTCAATTAGGCGCACACGCGCCGACCAGACGCGTTCGTTCCCGGGGTTCCCTGCGCCTTCTCTTCCTCTCTTCTCCGAGCTTTTTTCCCCCTATCTCTCTCGTTCTCCCGTTTTTTTTCTCCGCCGCGTCCGAAAAGACTGGGATAAAATAACACCTAGCCCTCGCTGACTCGCTCGCACTCGCTAGGTCTCGCGCGTGTATCGATTAGCCAGCTTGACGCGCGGAGCGGAACTCTCTCTCTCTCTCTCTTCTTCTTTCCTCCATGCCTGTACCCCTGGACAAGCCAGCGAAAGGTGTGTGGGGGAGCTCTCTTGCAGCTTTTAATCCATCGCTCTCTCGCTGATATATCCCGCCCTGGCGAGTTTTATCGTCGTGTCTCTCCTCTCCGGTCCATGTATATATATATATCTATCTCGCGCTTTCTCGCCCCGACCGATTCGCGGCCGATACCGCTTGCAATCGGTACCGATCGGCAAATCGCGGAATCCGATCCCCGACGGTTCACTCTTCCTTTCGTTTTCATTCTGCCATTTTCCCCCCTTCGTCATCTGGTTTCCACCGCGTGCTGGTTCCCGCGCGCGATTTCACGCAGCCATCATTGTTTTCGAGATAAGTACAAATGTAACTGCACGCGGTCGCGCTCTGCAGTTGTATATATGTATATCTCAGGTACCGCTTTTACGATCCCGAGGGATTTGTTCGGCCTGGAAAATTCGATCGAATAATTCTAGCGCGCGTCTTCCCGTAATAATTCCGTGTATTAATTAATATAAGGTTCCGTTGAGATCGTTGAATAAATAATTGCGGTGTGAATAAATGAAATGTGTTTAGCGTACTTACAATAGAAGCGTTTCCGTCAATTTCAAGATAAAAATACACCGCACGTGCATCTTTTACGCGCGCGAAAGACAAAATCGAAGATGGTTATTATTAATCTCAATTTTTCTCGTATCTTTAATCTCAGAGATCCTTAAATCTATTTAGCTAATCCGCACGGAGATCCAAGCGCGGGCAAGAAGCGATAATTAATTGATTCCATATTTTACGACGTACAAATCCCTCAATCTACTTGAGTAATTCCTTGGCTCCGGAGATGATAGTATACGGTATAGAAGGGAACACCACATACACGCAGAGGAGAAGAAAAAATTGGCACACGCACGGGATATCTCCTTCATCCCGTGCCAATTTTCTCTGTGCATCGGTGAGAACTCAGTGTCTCTCAAAACGGGGATCTCCTTTCTCGTTCATCGAACGAAAAAGAAAAAGAAGAGGAAAAGCAGCTCCGAAACCGCGATATAATCAATGCTGAGTGAAAGAAAGAAAGGAGGAGCCTTTCTTCTCATTTCTTCGAGGAATGAAATCGAGAGGGAGGATTCCTCGGGCCCTTCCTTTTCTTCCTTCTCGATGACACCCTCGCGGGAGCGTTTCCTTCCTTCGCGGCGAAACAAAATGGTGGTGGCTGTGTGTGTGTGTGGTGGGTAAATTAAGTTTGGCACGAGAGAGAGCCGCCGCTCTCGCCGGGAGAATTTCATTCTGTTGCCCGAAGCGCGAAACCTCCTCCATCCCTTCCACCCTCTTCTTGCCCCTCGGGCTTCGGAACGAAACAAGCGTAGCGAACTCTCTCCAACGCCGCCGCTGATGTCGGATGATGGTAACGCGATACGGAACTTCCGCGGTTTGGATACCTCTAACGAGGTAACCGCGCCCTTTCTCTCTCTCTCTCTCTACGTCGAACTGCTGCGACTTATTTAATGTACAGAGAGAGAGAGAGAGAGAGAAGAGAGGCTCCCCGAGCTTTCTCTCCCGCCGACTCTAAAGCCGCATCGCGCCGGATCGAGTCGAATCAAGGCAGACGATTCGAATCCGCTGCCCGATTCGAATCGGGCGAAGGGAGGAAAAGGGAGGAGGGATTCGGGTCGACGAGCTCTTCTCGCCCATCGGACCAGACCTCACGATCCGTGGCGCCGTTTTCCCCGTGTTACATTGAATCTTCTCCGAGTTACATAATGGCATCTATTCTGTTCGTGTTGCTTATCCGAAAGAGAGAGAGAGAGAGAGACGGGTAATCAGTGATATATTGTAGATTTCGACGACTTACGAAAGAAATCGCCGTCTCGTTGCGGCCGATTCGGGAGGGTGAAGACCTCCGTGGAATCCTCTCTCCGTCTGATTAATCGCTTACATCGTGTCTCTTTGCTTTATCTCGGTTTTGATGCATGCGCTTTCTAGCGCGTCACGAATATTTAATTCTTCCTTTAATCGTGGCTCTCGGAGCTGACGCCGAGATAAATCGTCTTGTAAATGATAGCCGCATAAATGGAACGATAAGAAACACATTACATTAATCTTTTGATTGAAAAAGGAATCGAATATTTTTCTACCCTCTCTCTCTTCATCTATCTTTTCCTTCTCTTGCCTGGTTAATGCTATCTGTTAATTTATATCTTGCGACTATGAAATAGACGAGACGTTTCGTAGAACGCGTGTTTCTTCAGGATATAATAGACTCAAATATTTGGTAAATTTAATACATTTACAAAATTAACGCGAACGACGATGTAAACAGCAATCGCACACCCGTAATTGATAACAACACCGTATAAACGTTGATATCTAGCGAGAGAGGATGTATTTGCACCGCTTGCCGACGTCGTCTGCGCGGGATTCCTCCCTTATAATTTGTCCGCTTTAAGTATAGGTGTTGTAATCGCAAATAATGGCCGTTCTTCGCCGTGTTAGCCTGTTGCTAATTTTCCTCGGCGTTAACGCGTTAAGTGCGCGCCGAGTAAGAGGGCTGTCCGCAGATAGCTATATCTGCCGCTAGACGTTACATTTTGCCCAATTTACGGCAGATTGGTCGGCGGCTCACGACTAAGATTACGATGGGCGCGAAGAGGAGAGCGCGAACGAGATTACCCAGAAAATGAGAAAAGGGGTGGTATAGATATATGTAGGAGAACCGGGGTGGCTGACAAGTTTTCGAGCGAGCAAATGAAATCGCTCTCTCTCTCTTTCTCTTCTATTTCGGCCGAACCGTGTATATATATGTGTATGTATTACACCGGCATCTCTCGGTTATGCTATAATAATAACGATAATTGCGACGCGCGAACGGCAGATAGCGGAAACGACGATAACGTTGTTAAATATAGAGACGTGTCGCGGAGATTCTTAGCAGGGGAGGCTTGAATGAACGGACGGTACCTTCTGCGAATCGTGATGACTCTTGATTACGGAGAAGTAGTTAAATGCTTCCTCGGAGTGAATAGCAGACTCGTCAGAATAGGGACACCGGGACGATTGTAACTTCCTGAAAACAAAAAATCCTGGGGATTATCTCGATTATAGCCGCGCTCCTAATTAATCGCGATTTCATTCACGCCGTTTAACACTTATTGTAGCGGATGAAAGCACTTGGTTTTATTTTTTTCTCATATACGGACAATTATATTCTGTAAGGCAGATTTTTCTGCCGCAGCTATGTGTCATCTAATAATTAATTTTTCGAAATTCCCAATCTGTATAATTTTTTACTATACAAGAAACACGAAGGTAAAAGCTCGAAAAAAAAATAATCAAAGACAGAAAAATATATATAAATGGAGAATAGAAACGTGACGCCGCGCTCCTAATTAATCGCGATTTCATTGACGCCGTTTAACACTTGTAGCGGATGAAAGCACTTTTTTATTTCTTTCTTATATGCGGACAATTATATTCTGTAAGGCAGATTTTTCTGCCGCAGCTATGTGTCACCTAATAATTAATTTTTCGAAATTCTCAATCTGTATAATTTTTACTATACAAGAAACACGAAGGAGAAAGCTCGAAAAAAAAATAATCAAAGACAGAAAAAAATATAAATGGAGAATAGAAACGTGACGCCTCGCCGTAACTTTGGGAGTTCTTTCGAGGCGGTACTTATGTGATGTCTGAAACTTTTTAGCATCGTGTCGATGACAGTTAAAACGACGGCAGCTGCGCGGCGAGAAGATATACTCGGAGGACGTTTCCTCGTCGCTGCGAGAGAGCGGCCGTTCCCTTATTCTTCTTCTTCTTCTTTTTCTTCGAGGGATCTAGAGAGATGCGCGGGAGAGTTTAGGCGAGTATTCAGTACATCGTGCATCGTGTATCTCGCTCCATTTGCACGGCTGCTCGCGGGCATCGATTATTTAGCAATCACGGTGTTCCGCATCGTGCGCGGCCACTCTTGTGCCTCTCTCTCGTCCGTCCCCTTTTCACCTTTTCTCTCTCCGGTAATGGTTCCGCGGCTCCTCGTTGTCTTTCTCCTTGCCTTGTCCTCTCCCCTTCTCTTTTTTCCCTATCTCTATCCGTCTATCCATCTCTTATTCATTCTTCCTTCTCGTTTTGGCCCCGGAGCTCTCCGCGCTCTCGACGACGCATAGTCTGCAGGAATTTTTTCGCCCAGCAGCGTGCATATCGTTACGGAATAATGCAACGGAATAAGCGCCCCGGATAATGACACGCGTGTGTGTATGTGTGTGTATACCGGTATCTCGCTCGCTTCGATATTTAAAAAAAAAAAAAAATGCCAAGATTCTATCTTTCGCCGCCCGGTAGTGTCCGCGAGCGTAACGTGACGAAAAATCGGGATGCAAACGGAAGAAGAGGGACAAGAGCGGATTCGTTGGATTCAACGAGCATACCTGTAATCACCCCGTGTATACGAGGCGATTGCGCCGCCTTTTCGTTAAAGTACAGGAGATTTCCCCGGATGATTTTTAGGCGGCCGTTTAGCGAAACGAGCGGCTATCATTCGCTCGTGACGTCGTCGTTTTAACGGGTGAGGTCGTCCTCCGAGACAACGCGGAGGTGGCACACGAGATACTATGATTTTACGACGCGACACTGCGCGACTCGTAAAATCGGCGCCGTTTTCCCAACCGGCCAGGTCGTATATACGATTCTTATCCGTCCTGGATCTGTAATTGAAGAAGACAATGACCCGCGATATCTCGCGGCTGCCGCGACGTATAAAATGTCGTGTGTAGCGTTTGCATGTTAGAGAAAAAAAGCGCGCCGCGCAAAATAGAGTCGCAGCTAGCTTCTGATTCAGGGTGTTTAGCGGTCAGGGAAATCTGGAATTGTCGGGGAAAAGTCGGGAAATTTTACTATTTATCTGGACTTTTTTTTACATTATTCTACATTTGTCTCAATAATTTGACATTTTTTATTAAATAAATATAAACTTTTTCCTCGCACGCTCCCAGCACGCTAATTTTCTGTGCTGTTAAAAATCGATTCATCTTGAGCGCGTTCGTTAATTTATATCTTCATCGTGTTATTTTATTCGAACACGTTTGTTTCGATTATCGTACATAGTGCAGATTGTGTATAATTGATTTAAATGTTTGTTTTAACTTCCGAACTAATCTTTTCATTGTTGACAAAAATATCTCAAGTGTTTCATGATTTAACATTTAATTGATTTATCATATAGATATAGCACGCAAATTATATATTTGGAAAAAATAGTACTTGAAAGTCAGGAAATTTTTTTCATCGAGTCTGCTCTGTAATTTATGCAAATGTGTTTTTATTTTTTATGCTCGTTTAAAAATACGCGCGATGTAACAGGAGGGAATTGTTATCGAAAACGCTAAACCGCTCGGCGTATACGCTACGTTAAATGCAACGCCGCTGATTAAATTCGCCGATAAAGCTTACGATAGAATCGATATCTTGGGAAGCAAACGATTTTCCGAACGTTAAAATATGCATTACTATTCTCTCGTTACATCGCGGGGAGATTCTCCCGTTTCTTTGCTCTTCGCGTTTCTGTTCCGAGCGAATGAAAATAGCGTCGAGTTTCACGTGAGCCCGCGTCTTTATTCGCTGCAAAACCATCTACCATAATGTAAAAGTAACAGAGAATCGTAAACGAGACCGAGAAAAAGTTTCAACAATATAATACGTAATGTGATTTATTAAAACGTATATATTATTCGCAGCGTAATGGCGTCGTCGTTATCTCGATGTTACAAAGTCTCTACACTGACATGCATTACATCCGATAAATCTGACGCTCGCAATTTTTTTCGCGATACTCCTCTCGTCGTGATTAATCCTTTGAGTGCCGCGCCTGCCATTCCCCGTGCGAAAAATACCAGACGTGTTTTGCCAGCGAGACACTTTAAGCATAAATATCCGAGCTTCTTTTCAGCGCTTCGGGGGCTATAAAGTAACATCGTGTAACTACGTGCCCGAAAGAACGACGTCGCTGTCAACGCGACTCCCGGCATTTTCCGCAAAAATCCTTCGAGCCACTCTCGATCGATGAAAAAACTGCGGAAGAAAACCCGTTTGAAATAGCGATCCCGATCGAAGATCGCGGACCAAAGTGACATCCCGACTATTCCCGATAGTGTATCCCCGAGACGGCAATTAGTCCTGCAGGATTCTAGCAAACGATAGCGCGCGTTCAAGACTTTCGCGACAAATCCACTTGGTAATTAGATCGCTCTTATCTCGCGCGAAAGAAAAAGAGAGAGAGGCGCGTGTTTCGCAAAAACCGGGTATCGATAGCGCGAGACGCCATGCTCGGAGGCGTTGCAAAAGGCAAGAGAAAGCTGCGAAATCGCGCTACCCTTCGAGAACGTGGCTGCGCGACGGCATGCAGCGCATGCTCATTTGAATATAAATTACGCTCGCCGAGCCGTGAGCGGCGGCTGCGACGGAGACGTGGCGGTTTGTCCGGTTATTGTTCCGGCGAGAGAGAGAGAGAGAGAGAGATGGGGAGGAGATACTACTTTACGTCGCCTAAAGACCGTGTACCGAGAGAGATTCCAATTGCATCGCTCATAGGTAGTAACCTCGCGCGCGCGATACGTCTCGGGGCGCGCATTATTGTTGTTGGCCGGGATTAACCCCGGAGTTCAGCGGGAGGACTCGCACTCGGACTCGCTTATGCATCCTTTGAGCGCGGCGAATTTCGCGAACACACGCGCTTGAAATGATAGTACCGGAGGTAGTAAGATTATATACGCTGCCCGCGTATGGCCGGTGAGGTATCCTATAAAATGTTACTTGGCGTAATAACAGCTGTAGCGGAAATCAAGCGATTGCGCTTAGGGCGAAATCGAGTTGGGAATAAACGCGCGTCGCTAAAGCATTTAGGGAAACGTTATTATATACATCATTGTAGTAAAATTATAACGACTAAACGAATGCGAATTTAGATTCCCTCTTCTTTCTCGATTATTATTTTTTATCGCGGTGAATAATGTACGAGAGACAGTCTACGTATTTTCCAGGTATAAATAAATGACAGGGTGGAATATATATAGTATATCCCCCTTTATGTTTCATTTAATTCGAAAAGTTTCCGAAACAAATATCTCGTTTCGCGCGAAACGTAAAGTTTCCTCTCTCTCTCCTCCGAAATTGAATGAATGATTTAACATTGAAAAGAGCTCTCGATCGCGCGCGCTCGCAGACAGCGCGATTTTCTTCGAAAATCCAATCTTCTCCCGCGGCGCGAGAGCATTCGCAATTAATGGACCGTGCCGCGAGTCGTCGGGAATATCGGGGGATGGTTAACGCCGCGAGACGAACGAGAAGAAAGCGAACTTTTTACGAGCGTCGCGCCGGGGCCTAACGAGTCATCTTCCCCGAAGTGTAATTCTAGCGCGCACGAAACGATCAATCGAATCTATTGTTTGCCGTACCGTTACAACACGGCCGCGAGCGAATTCGACATCCTCGATTGTCCGGCTCGAATACATATACCGGTTATATTGTGAGTGATTTCGAGATCCGATCCCGCAGGAGTAGCAGCGCTGATTGTGCGATGAAAAATAGAATCCTCCTTCCTCGTCAAAGGATAATAATTACCATTGTGTTATAACGCTGGCGTTTAAAAAAAATTAATTATTTATATACAAAGAACGAGGAACGAATGCATATAATTATCACGCAACCGTCCGAAATTTTTCAACGCGTGACGGGAGATAGTTTCGGCAACAAAGAGCCATGCCGTAAACAACTCTGCTAAAACGTGCGCGGATTAAGCCCTCTCGCGCGCGGCAGCGTGACGTATAAATCCGAAATTCGCAACGGAATTTGCGCGGGCGCGCTTGTAATTTCGCGAGATCCCGGGCGAGCTTCAGGACACGATAGGGAATAGTTGGAAACGATTCGCTCTCTCTCTCTTTCTCTCTGTCCGCGCGCAACACCGTCATTCTCTTCCCCGACATATTTGGAATTCAGCTCGGCGCTCATATTTTGGAAGCACTTTGGACAGTGCGCCGGTGGGGACGTCCGGATTTCGGTGATTGACACTGACGCAAC